GGCCACGGAGTGGAATGACAGCCCCAGGGTGTGCCAGGAGTGTTCAGGCACTGGAATGACAGGGCCACGGATTGGAATGACAGCCCTAGGGTGTGCCAGGAGTGTTCAGGAGCTGGAATGACAGGGCCACGGAGTGGAATGACAGCCCCAGGGTGTGCCAGGAGTGTTCAGGCACTGGAATGACAGGGCCACGGATTGGAATGACAGCCCTAGGGTGTGCCAGGAGTGTTCAGGAGCTGGAATGACAGGGCCACAGAGTGGAATGACAGCCCCAGGGTGTGCCAGGAGTGTTCAGGCACTGGAATGACAGGGCCACGGATTGGAATGACAATCCTAGGGTGTGCCAGGAGTGGAATGACACCCCCATAAACAATGACAACTCGCGGCCCCCTTCCCGCCAAGCCCGGCGGCGGCTGGAGATCCCCGCATCGCCTTCCTTGCACACGAGGAGACCTGGACCGAATGGCAACCCGATCCCTCGCCCAAGGGGAGGCCGCGTGGCTCCAGATGACCGCCTCTCCGAGCAGCGTTGTCGGCCAGGGAAGGGGGACCCGATGTCCGCAGTCTTCCCCCGCCTTCCCTTCCAGCCCACCTCCGAGGAGACCCGCAGGTCCCAACCAAGCCCGGCGGTGGCTGGTGATCCCCGCATCCCCTTCCTTGCACGCGAGGAGACCGGGACCAAATGGCAACCTGATTCCTCGCCCAAGGGGAGGCTGCGCGGCTCCAGTTGACCGCCTCTCCGAGCAGCGCTGTCGGCCAGGGAAGGGGGACCCAATGCCCGCAGCCTTCCCCTCGCCTTCCCTTCCAGCCCACCTCAGAGGAGACCCGCCGCTCCCAAGGAGCGCATCTCACCAGCCTCATAACCCCCCCACGAAAAAGAGCTGCGCTCCCCCAGCCCCCTCGCACGAAACGGCGAGCGAGAGCAACAGAAACGGAAACAGACCTCCCCCCCGTGCCCCAAGGACGTGCTTCGTCTGCTTCAGAGCGAACTATTTCATGCAGCAGCCCAATCGCTGGCTCACAACTTGCATGCCGGTAGCTCGCAAAGTAGAATGTTTGCTCAGGGGGCTCAACAGCTTAGAGGGAGCCTTGCAGCCTTGCAGCCAGCTGGGAGATCTCCAGGCCCCACCGGGAGGTAGGCACCTGAGGGGGGCGCCACGAGGCGGCCTCGCCTAGGGTGCCCAAACCCCTCGGGCCGGCCCTGATTGTGCACCTTAGCAGTTCTGCTTCTTTCCCCTCTGCCTGAGCCCGCCTCGATTCCACAGCCTAAACATCCAACAAATCAATCCACGCTGCCCCTGGAGAACTCTGATTGGAGCAGGAGAACGCCGCGCTCGCTGATAACCCAATCACAGGCAAACAGTTCGGATAGAAGGGCGGAGAGCATTTTTTTAAAGAGGACAAGTCCCTTGCCTGATTGACAAACGGAATCGCAAATCAGAAGCAGACCGAATGCGAAAGTGGTCCAGAGGAAGCCAATGGGCCGATTTAAAGCTTGGGGACCGTCAGTGTAAGACGATTGGTCGGTTGTGGAAATATTCAGAGAAAGGACGTTCTCCGAACGCCTCTCCCGAGCCCCTATTGGCTGGGAGGAGGGGCGCTGCCCCTTTTCTTTTCTCCCGGAGGAGACGAGCGGCGAATGTCCTTAACCTCCGGTGCGCGCCTGGCAAGGTGATGCTGGCTGGGCTCTGGCTGGCGCTGGCTGCCGGTTTCTTGGCTGCGCTGCTGGTCCTGCAGTGGCTGCCGCCTCCGCCCGCCTCTTCCTCGCTCAGCCTGGCGGGGCTCTTCCACGATCTGGTCCGCTACGGGAAGACCAAGGGCGGCTGCGGGCAGCGCCCAGCCTGGTTGCAGTACTTCGACGTGCCTAAGAGGTGAAGGACGCGGGGTCCGAGATCCAGCCGAGGAGGCTGGGCCAGGTGTCTTTGCGGGGACTAAGCAGCTAGTCGCTGGATTCCCCCTTCCTAGGCTTCATTAGGAATCAGATCACCGGAGCTCCTCTGGGCACGTGCAGAGTGCTTTCCCGTTCGCTTGGTAGCTCTTGAACACCTGTGCTCAAGGATAGGAACAGAAACCTATTTTGTCACCCGTTTTGAATGGGGCGAGTGGTTCCGTGGCCCAAATCCCGCCCCTCGCGGCTCTCCCCCGAGCGGGAGAGCCGCGAGGGGTTGTTTCTGCTCCTGCAGGGCTGGGAAGGGGCCCTTTAAATGTCTACGGCGGCCGGAGGCGCCGCCAGTCACCGGTTCACGGGAAACGTTCCCTGGCCTCCCTCAGCCGCGCACATGAATTCCTCGTGCCAAAATCCGCTCCTCGCGGATGTTTAGGAGAAAAGGAATGCTACTCTTTCTGCTAATGAGACACAAAATGAACACTCCCCACTTCATTCAAGGCCCAGTTCCACACAGAACGAAGACACATGTTGCTGTGTTTGATACTTGATGTCCACAATTGGCAGAATGAGATGCTCCAGTTTTGTGGTGCTAGAATGGACTGCACTGCTTCAGGTTGCGGGGGGGTGGGGTGGAGGCTTGTATTTTTTTAATGCCACCATGCATAAGACTCCCTGTATGTACAAAATAACCACAGCTGTATATGGAGTAAGATAGACCTCTTACTGATGTCTTTAACTTTTTGTTGCTTGTAGGGACTTTCTTTTAGTGATCTGGCACATTGAATTCCAGTGCCAGGAGGTAACGTCAGGGGAAGGCCTCAGCCTCTGTGCCTTGTCATTGGCCCTCCAGAGTAACTGGTTGGCCACTGTGTGATACAGGCTGCTGGACTAGATGGACCACTAGTCTGATCCAGCAGGACTCTTCTTATGTTCTTATTAAAAGTGTATCTTCTGTTTGGAGCCTGAGTTGGTACAGTCCATTTTCCCTCTTCATTTTGCTGGGTGTGGAGACCAGGCCTTCTTAGCTAACCTTCTAGAAGTAGCTATTTTCTTTCGGTTTACTGTGAGGTAACCTGGTCTGTTTGAAATTAAGAGGTGAATTCAGTGCTTGGGTGGCCTTCCTCTTATTGGCTCCCCCCGTTGAAGGGGCAAAATCACTACAAATGAAACCAAACCAAAGCAGCTCTCCAATTTGACAGTTGCCGTTTTGGATGACAAAGCATGACTCTTCTAGCATTAATCTTTCAGTGCCACTGGGTGGCGCTTGAGGTCATGTTGGTGTTCCTTGGTCATGACAGGTTTTCAGGAAAGGAAGCCATTTGGTCTTTGGGATGTGGGGAACTTGGGAGCCCTTGCCATGAACCATAAGTTAATTTTTGCTTCCTTCTGTAGGTGGTTCTGTCACTTCTATGTCGTGGCTGTGATCTGGAATGGCATCCTCTTCCTGTGGCTTATCCAAAGTTTGTTCTTCTCATGGCCCTTCCCAGTTTGGTTGCAGGATTTGCTCCACATTCTTGGAGAAGCCCCCCAGGACCAAAACAGAGGCATGTATGGTTCTGAGAATGTGTATGCTTATAAACAGGAAGGTGTAGCCTGCTTGTTTGTTTGTTTCTTAGTGGAAGGCAACCTAAAGTGATATGGTGTTGTTTCTTTTAAGTGTTTCCACCAATAAGCTGTGCTTAAAGGACTTTTCATCATAGGAAATCGGCATGCAAGTGACCTGTAACTATCTTGCAGAACATATTTACAGCTCGCTCATGGCAGTAGTACTCCTGTTGTACTTTCCCTGACTCTTTAGTGGTGGTGAAAAGAGCTGTCAAGTTGCAGCCGACTTATGGTGACCCTGTAGGGCAGTGGTGGCGAACCTTTTAGAGGCCGAGTGCCCAAACTGCGACCCAAAACCCACTTATTTATCGCAAAGTGCCAACATGGCAATTTAACCTGAATGCTGAGGTTTTACTTTAGAAAAAACAACTCATACATTAATTTAAGATGATCCAAACAAAGCAAGGAAAGCAATCCCAAATGCTTTCATTTACTTAAAATTATTTGGCAGAGAATTCGACACTTTAATGGCGGTCTGGGCCTGGCTGGGGCGATGGCACGTGTGCCCACAGAGAGGGCTCTGAGTGCCACCTCTGGCACGCGTGTTATAGGTTCGCCACCACTGCTGTAGGGCCTTCAAGGCAAGAGACCAGCAGAGGTGGTGTGCCAATGCCTGCCTCTGCAAAGTGACCCTGGGCTTCCTTGGAGGTCTCCCATCCAAATACTGACCAGGGCTGCCCCTCCTTAGCTTCTGAGATCTGATGAGACCGGGCTGGAATCAGGGTGACTCTTTAGTGCTATTACGAACATGGGGGAACATGGTATAAGCCTCTGGGACTGAACCGTTAGAGAAGTTAGGGAGGGGGTTTCACATATGCCAGGCCCCTCGTGCAAAAAAAGAATTCCATCTTGCATACAGCAGGCTAGCCTGACAAGAAGAGGCACAGGTTGACCAGCTACTTTACCGAGTTCATGGAACCCGCAGCACGGTAACTTTCCGCGGACGGCTACTGGAGAGCATTCGGAAGTGCCGTTCTGCCCTTGCATTCTCAGCTGGCCCAGTCCCAAGAGGACTATCTTGTGTCCTCTTTTCTGAAAATATAAGTCCCAGGATCATCTGGTAGAAGGTTGATGTCTTACCATCGGATAAAGTAAAGGTAAAGGTTCCCTTGCTCGAAAGCCAGTCGAATCTGACTCTAGGGTTGTGGTGCTCATCTCCGTTTCAAAGCCGAAGAGCCAGCGCTGTCCGAAGACGTTTCCGTGGTCATGTGGCCGGCATGACTAAACACCAAGGCGCACGGAACGCTGTTACCTTCCCACCGAAGTGGTACCTATGCTGAACTGCAGGCTGTGGAAGGTCAGTAGTTCAGCAGTTCGAGACCCAGGGTGCTGCATGAACGGAGTGAGCTCCCGTCTCTAGTTCCAGCTCCTGCCAACCATCGGATAGGGAGATATTATTTTAGTACTATGTCCTGCCCTAATGAGATGGCCACGGTCTTTTGCATCCAAGGGATGGTTTCCACAGTACAGCATGGCCTGTTCTGAGAATTGTTGCCCTTCAAGTATTTGGGCGCTCTGTGTGTATAAAGTTCTCGCAGTGCCACTGAGTGTTTTCATGCAAGTCGTGGCATGAATTCCTATAGTTTGCTGAGTGCACTTGGCACTTCTGTCAGTTGTTTTTACATGGCAACCTGTGTTGGATTTCTAGGTGGCGAGGCCCTCTCTGCTTTCCTGGTTTGCCTTTTTGTCTGGTTGAACAGCTGTCGGCGACTCTGGGAGTGTCTTCACATCAGTGTGTTCTCCACGGGAGTCATTCACCTTGTACAGTACTGCTTTGGACTCTCTTACTATGTGCTGGTGGGCTTAACAGTGTTAAGCCAAGTGCCTTCTAGTGTCCGGGCAGGTAAGTGGCATCTTTAGTGTTTTAGTAGTAGAACAATGTGACACCCACCCCCGTCCATTTCTTTCTTATTAGAGGAAAGGCCTGGTCTGTACATAGCAACTGAATGAGGTCAAAGAATTTTGAGGTGGAGAGTGAGCGACGCCACTGGTGAGGAAAGAGAGCTACCAGAAAAATGGTGGATTTTGATCCTCTGAGCATTTATTTATTCATTTATTTACTTTATTTACATCCAAAGTTTATTAAAATGGTGGTAAAGGTAAAGGTTCCCTTCCTCGACAGCCAGTCGAATCCGACTCTAGGGTTGCGGTGCTCATCTCCGTTTCAAAGCCGAAGAGCCAGCGCTGTCCGAAGACGTTTCCGTGGTCATGTGGCCGGCATGACTAAACACCAAGGCGCACGGAACGCTGTTACCTTCCCACCGAAGTGGTCCCTATTTATCTACTTACAATTTCTTGCTTTCGAACTGCTAGGTTGGCAGGAGCTGGAACTAGAGACAGGAGCTCACCCTGTCTTGCGGCACCCGGGTCTTGAACCGCTGAACTACTGACCTTCCACAGCCTGCAGTTCAGCGTCTTAACCACTTGAGCCACCACAGCTCCTTTAAATGGTGTTAGACCAGCACAAATCACAAACACCTGAATCACATGCTCATAAGAGAAATACAATGGATAAACAGCAATTAGTACAATCAGGTCGGCTATGACAAGATGGTGCCAAGATAGGAACTCCGCCACACAGCCCTCTGCGAACAGACGGCAAGTCAGCCTTAACTTTTTCCTGCTTTATCTCCCTTCAAGTTCTTAATTGGTCTCTCAACTCTAAACAGAAGTTACTTATCTTTGGAAGAGAGAGAGAGATAAAAGAACGTTTTCTTTTAGCAAGCTCGGGAGGTCTTTACGGAAGGCTCTTTGTTAGACAAGCGAAACTGCTGCAAAGTAGAGCAACTGTTTATACTCTCCGCTTTTAATTACTCTTTGAGCTCTACACATTTTTCAGATTTCACCATCTTTTGCACCCCTTGTATTCTATCATCTTTGGTTGACACCTTTACCAGCAGTAAGTAACATCAAGGCTACAATTGGGAGACCACATGCAACCTCACAGTAATTACACAGTACTCGGAATGAGGCACGCTAAGAGGTCTCGAGGTTCAGAGGACTTAACTACACCCCCCAAATGCAAACAGAAAAAGATAGAAGACTTCTTTAGAGCAATTAGCGAAGCTACTTACACCATTCCTGTTGCTAATCGCATAGCTCCCCTAGCTGACACTTTCAACCCCGAGGAAATCCCCGCAGAAGCTGAAACTGAGCAGCAAGTAAAAAAAACAGCAGAGGGAGCTGCTAGCACTGCAACAGATTTCTGTTACCTGACAGCTAAAACAGTGGGTTACGACTTTGGATTGTTAAAACAAATCTCTGCAAAACTGGAGTATTTTGACCATGTCACAAAGACTGTGATGAAGACAAATGGGCTGGCCAACAGAAATCCTTCTAGACAAGAGCACAGAAATCCAGACTGGGCCCAGAAACAACCCAAGTAAAACAAGGAGCAGTACAAACTGGTTCTACAACTGCAAAAGGTATGCTTAACAATATGCAGTTATAAAGGACAGGTGTCTAACTGGAAGCTGAAGGAGCAAGCTGTCTCACATTTAAGATCTCTATTCCCGAAAATACAATTTCCAGTAGATCTAGTTTCAATTGAAATACTAAACTGTACAAATCAAGCACAGAGAGTGCTGTTGACTTTCAAAACCCCCAAAATACCCATAATGCTTCTCCAACAGAGATCCTTCCTGGGCAGCAAAGGGATCTTTCTGGCAAAAGCCTTCAGAAACACCTGCGAATCCTCTTTATTTCCATCACTGCAGAAAGTTAGAACTTTATCAGATACCAGCGCAAAGGACTTATCATCAAGAACTAGGTCAACCCTGTCTCTTGATGAAGAAGTAACTACTCCATACAAAGCTATTCAAGACGCCAAAGAAGGTGAAAAGGAAGACTGTTACTTAAACAATTCAATGGAAGAAGATATAATTAACTCCTTCCCCTGTCTTCCAGTGGCTGACCAACTAGTCATCATAGCAAGAAGGGACTGGATGTGCATCCAGCTTTGAAGCTTAATGGAATCCTCATCAGCTATTATCCATCAGAAGGCATCAGGCAATGACTCTCTTCCTCCCCCTCCCTCAACGAAGTTGCCAATGCCATCCAACAAGCATGCAATTAAGTGTACTATCCGCAATGAGCCAGTTCCCTCTACCCAGAGGCCGGAGTGTGATCTGGATAGTCATCTCAGCATCTGTCCCGCCCTCCGCATGCAGGACTATCAAGTGGCAAAGAGGAACAACTGTATTTTTCACAACACAGGAGGGGAGCTAGAAAGAATCTCCAAGGACTGACAATTAAAAATCCTGTCCTGGAGTGTGGGAGGGTGGCATAACAAGCTCCATGACCCTGATTTCTTCAAACTTCTAAGACAATTTGATATAGTGCTTATCCAGGAAACTTGGGCTCAAGATACTTCCCTAATAAGCCTGCAGGACTTCAGAATTTATGCAAGTGCTGCAGTTAAGTCCCACCACAAAGGCCAAGGGAGTGGTGGCCTTGCAGCACTTTTTAACGTAGACTTAAAAGCTGAGATCCAAGTCATTGACAGCATCTGCCCCTCAATACATACAGCCACTATTGGTCAAGGGCCAGCAAGTAGGCAACCTCTTGTATGTCAATGTATATTTGCCCCCCGATTGCAACAAAATGCAAGACAAGGAGAAAATTTGGGACCCTTGATCATCTGTTGGCCCAATACCCCAATTTTAAAATAATCTTATGTGGGGATTTTAACGCAAGGATTGACCCAGGCTGTCTAGCACCTCAAGGAAATCTAGATGCACAGGCCACTGAATGAGCTCTTTTATTAAATCATTGATCCTTAGACCCCGTAGTCAATAGACCAGGTATAAAATGTTTTGAGCTACTCGCCCAATACTATCTGTATATTCTAAATAGGACTAAGTTTGACTCCTCTGAAGGGTCCTATACATACTTATCCTCACTCTATGCGAGTACAATAGATTATATAGCAATTTCCCCCGATTTATTGAGTCAACTGAACAACTTCAAAGTGAGGGACAGTAGCCCCTTGGAATTAATTTTAAATTTTAGTAACCAAATTTTCTTAACTCCGACATCTCATCCTACCGAAAATCTATTATAGGAGATGGATGGAACATTTGCATAACACCATTGCACAAGCTCTTGAGGAAACAACTTAGGGACAGTCGTCAGTCTCTGCTACACTCAGATTCCAACTCAATCCATTGCTACGAAGGCATAATTCCTGCTCTTAAACCTCTGTTGATTAATTATAGATCTCCTAAACAACACACCCACCCCAATAATGTATGGTTTGACCAGGAATGTAGGGATTTTAAAAAGAAGATAGCCAGACAAATGAAACTCACCTGACGCCATAAGGATCAGAAATTAATACAACAACTAATTAAGACTAGAACTCAATACAAAAATTTACTCAAACCTAAGAAACAGGCCCACAGCAAGCAATTTTGGGAAGAAATGGCACAGGCAGCAAAGGGGGAAAAAGAAACTCGCTTTTGAGAGTTAGTTTCACTTGGGCTCAGAAGACTACTCTTCTAAATAGATGCCTAAATTTCTGGAAACTCCTGGATTAACCACTTCTCTGCCATCTATGATTAGGTCCACAGAAACAAAGAAATGGGCCTTTAATCACAATCTGCTGCCATCTGTCAATCCCCTACCTCTCAGATTAGGTCCACAGAAACAAAAAAAATGGGCCTTTAATCACAATCTGTAAATGCTACCAGATTGGCCAGCGGTAACAGTGGCTGAGGTCGAAAATTTAATTTCCTCCTTGGCCTTAGGCATATCCCCGGAGGAAGAGTCAATACCCACAGACCTGGTCAAGGCCTTCCCCAGCTGGTGGCCCCCAATTTTTGCCAAACGATTTACCCAAATAAATAATTCTGGCCTACTTCCTGCTGGATGGAAAACCAACATAGTGGTCCTCGTCCACAAAAAAGGTGATAAGTCGAACCCAAGTAACCATCGCCCAGTATCTCTCCTCGATAACAGCATCAAAACTATACGGAAAATATTTACTAAGGAAGTTAGAGGAATGGGCTACAGACAACCTAATTCTGCATCCTCACCAAGCAGGCTTTCGCAGAGACCAAAGCAGAACAGACCACCGCCTCACACTTTACCAACTAGCCTATTTGGCAATGAAAGGTCCAACCAAAGCCCTATACATGGTGTCTGTAGATTTAGCTATAGCTTTCGATTCCATAGACAGAGATCGTTTATGGGGAAAACTTGGGAAGACAGATATAGACAAAAGACTCTTAGCACTGATTCATGAATTCTATTCTGGGACATCTGTAAAGGTCAGAGTGAGTACCTCTGGTTCCCTAACTAGAGAAATCCCTACGGTAAGAGGGGTAAAGCAGGGATGTGTTTTTACTTTTCAATTTATTTATCAGTGGCATTGTTGATAGATTGTCTGACCAGAAATTTGTTCCACCCTCACTTAACAATCAGAAGCTCTCCTATTTGCTATATGCAGATGATATGGTCCTGATTTCCTTAACTAGAGCGGGCCTGAGGAAGCTGCTGAATGACCTGGGGGACTATTGCTTGGAAGAAAAATTGAAAATAAATTATACCAAACCAAAAGTGATGGTCTTTCATAAAAGGCCAAAAAAATTTTTATGGTGCATAAACGGCACCCCAATTGACCAGTGTAAAACTTATAAATATGTGGGCATAACCTTCCATGAATCCTTGAACTGGAATGCCCACATAGCTCTAACAAAAATAACAGCTCTTAAGACTATAGGTGCAATAATGGGACTCTTCTACAACAAGGGTGGCCACCTCATAGACCCAGCCATCAAGCTTTACGCTAGCAAGGTCATCCCCCAAATACTTTATGGTGCTGAAATATGGGGATGGCAAGACCAAGTCCTTACCAGGCTGGAAATAATGCAAAACAATTTTATGAGACGCATCCTGGCACTCTCAAAGGGGACACCAACAGCCATGATGCGAGCTGAGCTGGGCTTACCCTCAATAAGGGCTCGTGCACATGCTGTAATTTTAAAATTCTGGAAGAAACATCAGCTAGTTGATACAGGTTCCTTTAGCAACTCTAGCTTCCATATTCTGCAAATTAATGACCCAACCCGTCTCAGCACGCTATCCAACATTATTACTAAATATACAATCCCGGACGACCTACTACTCCCCTCAGATAACAACTCTTATCTGCGGGATTGGGTTTACAATGAAGACTCTCTAATTGACAAATCCTTAATTAGTCAACAGAAATTTGCCCCAACAGACCACTCCAGAGCCTCCTATCTGGCTCATATCTCAATTTACAGCATAAAAAGGGCATTCACTGCTCTTCACTTTCAGACCATGCCAACTGAGCTGCTAAAAGGACGATATATCAAAACCCCATACGACCAACATACCTGTCCATGTGGGACTTCGGTTGAAGGTCTAACACACTACATTTTAGAATGCCCCCTATATAATGGTCCTAGAATCAAATTCCTCAACCCAATCCTAACAACTTTACAATTCACATTAGGTACCGACATAGTAACATTTCTACTCTTGGACGTCAACCCCACCATTTCTTACAGAATGGCACTCTATGCTTATGCTGCAAGAAAAATGAGAGATAGGGCTATCGAATGATTGTACTTTAAGAATATGTCATTTAGAAACCTGATCTTAATATCTATATTTTTATTCTGTTCACATATTCTATATTTTAATCCTGTTTAGTTAATTACTATTTTATATATGTGTGTGTGTGTATGTATTATATTGTGATGGCCAATGGCTATATACAATAAACTTTTGAGTACTTCTAAGTTACTAAATCATTAAAAATTGTTAAACTTAATCTAAAATACATAAAACTTTCTGGTGAATTTTACAAGCAGCTGTTAGAAATTTCACACTAAGAGCTGTAACCTATAATTTTTGCCTATAACTAACATTTTAACAGACTCCAGGCGAATAAGATATCTTCTAAATAAAGGGAGAATAAACTTAGAACTGATTTCTTGATATAAAGGACAGTAGAGTAAAACATGTTCTATTGTTTCAGCCTCTCCTGTGCCACAGAGACAGGATCTCTCTGCCATAGGCGCCTTTCTGTATCGTTCCCTCCAACACTGCGGAGGGAAGTTCTCACCATCTGGCAAGAGAAAGTGCCCCCTGTTGGCCCAGAATCTCCAGTTGGGAGAGATACTGTGCCTTTCTCCCCAAGGGGAACTCAGAGTGGCTTACATCACTCTCCTCTCCTCCATTTTATCTTCACAACCACCCTGTGAGGTAGATTAGGCAGATCTTTATAAACACTTCTGGTTTTTGCATGGTCCAGGAAGAGGGGACGGTCTGACGGTCTGTTGGTACCATGGACTTGGACTCCTGATGTTCGTTTGGGCCTCAGTTCATCAGCAGAGGTGTCTCGTGATTCTAGCAAATCTGAGGAAAAATAAATCAGGTAAGGTGTCTACAGTGTGTGTGGTCTGTGTTTGGGTCCGTCCCCCCCCCCCCCAGTAAAAAATGTTAGTACAACTCCTGCTTGTTTCCACAGTATCCCTTCATAGAACAAGGCTGAAATGGAGAATGGAGGCCCTAGCTGAGCTATATATGAGCAGCATCTTTGAGGGGCAGATCTGCGTTTATGGCTTAGATACTGAAGGGAAGGGGCAGTTAAGGCTCGCAGGTGTGCGGAACCTTCTTTCTGGCCTTAACCTTCCTGCAGTTGCTCCGTCTACCTGCTGGGCTCATTTCCAATAGTGGAGCCTTCTTGGCTGAGGGGGCGGTAATGTCTAGAGACAAACTGCAGGGAGGGAAGCCACAGGCAGGGGGAGGGGGAGGACTCAGCCCGCACAGCCCCTTTGCTCCTTGTGTTCTGTGATTTGAGAAAGACCGACCTGGTGCTGGTGGTTTGGAACCTGAGCCAAAGGACATAAGCACCTATATGGAATAAGTTTTAGGTAGTGTTTTGAACTCTCAGTCCATGAGAGGTGGCCAGAAATACTTTGCATGTGCTAGGAGGCATCCTGTTCATTACTTTACATGACCTGGGTCTGCAGCCCTGACTTCAAAAACAGGTTCCAGGACTTGCCACGAGAACGAACTATGTTCAGGGCTGGAGGAAGCAAGGAACAGAACTTTCCCAGGTGACTTGCAGCTAGACCAGCAGAAAATACTCTGTAGGCCGTTACTTGGTAAACAGATAGCTGCAAAACAAACAAAAAAATGCAACTAGGACAGTTGGTTTCTTATATCTTACATTTTAGCCAGTAAGTCTCCCCCAAAGCTAGTGTATCTGGAACACCACCTCTTCAAAAGGGGTGGTCTAATGTTATCCCTGACCTGACCTGGATAGCCCAGGGTAGCCCGATCTTGTCAGATCTCAGAAGCAAAGCGGGATTGGTCCTGGCTCGTGTTTGGATGGGAGACCACCAAGGAAATACCGGAATCATGATGCAGAGGCAGGCAATGGCAGACCACCTCTGAACGTCTCTTGTCTTGAAAACCCTACGGGGTCACCACAAGTCAACCGTGACTTGATGGCAACAGCAACAACCTTTGCAAGAAGAAAGTGTTCCGACCTTTGTAGAAGTCCTGATAGCCACCAATCATGCTGATGCGGGTGAAAACCAGAGATCTTTTAGTGTTGCTTCTTGGTTGGGCAAGGCTGTCACTCATAGTTCCCCCCCCCTTCTCTTTTTGCTTCGCAGGAGAGGTGGTGAGTTTGGACCACAGCCTTCCTTTCGGCGACTGGTTTGGAATGGTGTCCTGTCCACACTACTTTGCCGAAGTTCTCATATATGTATCGATGGGTGTTACGTTTGGATTTAAGAACTTAACCTGGTGGCTCGTGGTGACGTACGTGCTTTTTAACCAGGCCGTGAGTGCCACGCTGTGCCATGAATTCTATCTGAGCAACTTCAAGGACTATCCAAAGCATCGGAAAGCCTACATACCTTTTCTCTTTTAGGCTGTTTGCTTTAAGCAATTTAATGCCAACTTCAGCATCCCATCTGAAAAGAATGCCTGGTTATCCGGGTGGTTATTGCAAACAAAGGATTTGGCTGAGACTGAACTGACACAGATGATTGGTGCTCACAGCTAAGGAATATGAAAACGCTATTTGTGATGTTGCCCTGACGTGGATAGCGCAGGCTAGTCAGATTTAAGAAGTTAAGCAGGGTTGGCCTTGCCAAATATTTGGATGAGAGCCAAGTGGTGGCTCAAGGGGTTAAGACGCTGAATTGCAGGCTGTGGAAGGTCAGTAGTTCAGCAGTTCGAGACCCAAGTGTGCCGCATGACGGAGTGAGCTCCCGTCTCTAGTTCCAGCTCCTGCCAACCTAACAGTTCGAAAGCAAGAAATTGCAAGTAGATAGATAGGTACCACTTCAGTGGGAAGGTAACAGCGTTCCGTGCCCCTTGGTGTTTAGTCATGCCAGCCACATGACCACGGAAACGTCTCTGGACAGTGCTGGCTCTTCAGCTTGGAAACAGAGATGAGCACCGCCCCCTAGAGTTGGATTCAACTGGCTGTCGAGCAAGGGAACCTTTACCTTTACCTTTTTACTAAGAAATACGAGGGCCGTGACAGCAAGGTAGGCAACGGCAAACCACCTCTGAATGTCTCTTGACTTGAAAAACATACGGGGGTCATCATAAGTTAGCTGTGACTTGACAGCACTCCCCCCTGCTCATGATGTTAAGGTGACTTAGCAGTGGCTGGTTTTGTGTAACTGGCATTATGCAGCGTGCTTCAATCCTAAAGGGCATTTTCTGCTGTGGAGCCTCGTTGAGTGTAAGCGACTTGGCAGAGCAAGAACAACCTGTGACCGGGACCAATTATGTTCAGAAGGAATTGCATGAAGCAGAATGAAGATGCAGCATGCAAGTGTATCCCTTTGGAAATGAAACAAGAAGGAATCAACACTTTTTTATATGTATGTTATATATAAGTTTTATATGTGAACAAATTGCACTAAAAATCATTGTGACAGAGGCAAGGCCAAAGTTTGGTCTGTGGGTCACTTTTCTCTCTGTGCCACTCACACAAAACACCAGTCATAATCTGTCATTTGATTGTAAATATTATTTATAAGATGGTCTTCAGTAGTTTGTGAATATCTTGTATTTGTCCGACAGTAGGGTTTAAATTATTTAAAGCTTCCAGGACAGAAGGGGATGAGTTAAAAACCAGCTTCTGTGTGCTGCTCTGTCTTACGTCAGAGGATGGAGCTACTTCTCTATGCCCTAGAGTGCAAAGCTAGTTCACTTCTTGTTGGCGTGTTCCTTGTAACCACATAAGTGGCCAGGGCTGTGGGACAAGTTCTGATCGCTCTTCAAAATCTTGCGAATACAGAACTGTATAGTTTTGCATCTTGACGGTGAGCCGTTAATAAGATCTCTGGGTCGTGTCAACAGCCACACCCGAAGGCTTGAAGGAACCGTTAAGAAGTTCTTTGCTGGAGCCTCCTTCAAGTGCAAGTTATAACAGTGTTATCTCAAGAATGTTACTCTTGGGCAATGCAGCCAGATGTTTACGGGAGGCTTGTTTCCTGGTTCAGAGAGGGAAGAAGCAATGCTGTGAGAAGAAGCCTCGTCTCTGTCGACTTGGAACGTTGATGCAGTTTGACATAATTATGTATTTACTTCATTTATACCCTGCTTTTGTCTTCAGTGAGGACACAAAGGGGCTTATACTGCTCTCCTCCAGTCTTATCCTCAAAACAGCCCTCTGATATAGGTTAGGCTGAGAGTATGACCGGCCCAAGGTCACCCAGCATGGCAGAATGGGGATTCAAACCTGGGTCTTCAAGATTCCAGTCTGATCAAACCACTCCACCACACTGGCTATCAGCATTTAACATACGTTACACTGTTCCCTCTAAGCTGAGTTAGTGTGAGCTAGCGCACAGTTTTTTAGCCTCTGGCTCACACATTTTTGTCTCTGCTCAGGAAGGAGGGCTCCAGAGCAAACTAATTTATGCAGTAGCCAAATCGCTCGCTCACAACTTTAATGCCAGGAGCTCACAAAATAGAATTTTTGCTCACAAGACTTTACAGCTTAGAGGGAACATTGGTTACAATACTGAAACCTGTTGCAGTAGGCTCTGCATATGGTCATCTTCTAATACCAGCATGATCGATCACCAAGACAGGGTGCCCAAGGGTAATACCTGGGATGGAGGCCCATTGCTACTATCCGCGCACAGGCTTGGGTAGTCCTGTGCAAAGTGAAAGCCAGCCCCTTATGCCCATGCGGGAGACTATAAACCTAGAAATGTAGAGATGGTGCTTCTAACCAAAAAAAGACTGCTCTGGGGCAATGTTCCCTCTAAGCTGTGGAGTCTTGTGAGCAAAAATTCTACTTTGTGAGCTACTGGCATTAAAGTTGTGAGCAAGCAATATGGCTACTGCATAAATTAGCTTGCTCTGGAGCCATCCTTCCTGAGCTAAGACAAAAAATGTGTGAGCTGGAGGCTGAAAATTTGTGAGCTAGCTCACACTAGCTCAGCTTAGAGGGAACACTGCTCTGGGGTTCTCTCCAATCATCGCCTCAGACCAGCTATGCTACCTTTCTTCTTCCCCACCTGCACAAACGTGAAGGGAGTTTCCCTACATGTGAGTTCAGAAACTGGCCCTACTAAATGCTTTTACCTGTGATACCATTCAGGTGTTTTACTGGCAGAATTCTTATTTTTCTAAGTTGGCACTCCTGTATGGCATACAAGAGTACTGCTGTGGTGGGCCGTTCTCTTCGAGTGGGAATGCTGGCACAGCGTGCTGTTGAGCTGTTGATCCTGCCAACTTCCTTCTTACCTCAGGTACTTAGAATGATCTATTTACAATTTAGAAGCAGCTAGAAATGGGGTGTATGTGATCCTTCATCCATCTGGTCACAGCTTTGAGAACAAAGTCCTTCTGATGACTGTGGGCAAGGGCCTAAAGACTTTGGGTTGGATCCAACCAGTTTTTCTGCTGATGTAATAGAAGAAGAGATTGGATTTATACCCCACCCTTCACCCGGAGTCTCAGAGCGGCTTACAAACCCTTTCCCCTTCCCCTCCCCACAAAAAACCCCTGTAAGGTAGGTGGGGCTGAGAGAGCTCTGAGAGAACTACTCTTTCAAGGACAGCTCTGACAGAACTATGGCTTGCCCAGGGTCATCCAGCAGGTGCAAGTGGAGGAGTGGGGAATCAAACCTGGTTCTTCCAGATTAGAGTCCGCACATTTAACTATTACACCAAACTGGTGTAGGGGAGGGGGTCCCATCTAACCACCCAAAAAGGTTGTGCTGGGGATCATGAGATCTGCATGTAAAAAAGCCATGTGGAATGGAGGCTTCAGTAAAGAGAGAAATTGAGTAAGACTGAGTGAAAATGCTGGCTGGATCCAGCCCATTGGATAAGATGCAACAGCAGGAAGAGGGAAAGCTAGGGTGTGTGGCAATGAGTTTCCTAATTTCCTGTACATTTGTTTTTCTCCATTGAATGTTTTATATGAATTGATTTTATCTAGTACTGGTTACACTGTTTCTATAAAGGTTTTGGGTTTTTTTACTTTATGGTGTCCTGCTCTGTTCTTTGATCTATAGGATCTCTCTGCCTCTGGAGAGTTTATATGCAACAATGTAATAAAATTTATTTACTTCGTTTTACGTGTTATACAAATCCATATTAAAGCTTTGAGGTGCTATATGAAGTTTGGCAAATTAACAACAATTGTCCTTGTTTTGTATAGCGAGAAAGTAGAGGGCAGAAGTATTCCTGAAGGAATTAAATGCAGGCAGAAGGCTAATTTCCCTGCTGCAGAAAACTCCCCACTACTGCAGGCCCCCCCCCCCTGTGGCTTTTAGTCTGGTCAAGTCCCATGATTCCCAGCATAGTTGACAGGATCAGACCCAAGGTCACACTAGCAGCTGCATGTGGAGGAATGGGGAATCAAACCCGGTTCTCCCCAATTAGAGTCCGCGCTCCTAACCACTACACCAAATAGGCATTATTACTTGATGTCTCCATAAGGGAGTGATTAGTAGATAATGAAGCACGCAGCCTTATTAATGAACTAAGTCCTTGTAAAAGAATTGTTCTTGAGTTGGTCAATTGATACAGAGGGATCCACTTGTAATGGTTGATCTCTGGTGGCTAAATTCACACATGCAGGTAATCACAATGCAAAGTCAACAAAGTGATGACGGTCTGTGTGAACTAACCTAAAGATGTATATGCTGTCTATTACTTTGCTCATAAATGCTGGTCTCTATAATCCCACAGTACAATTCTAAATGGAGTTACACCCTTTTAAAATCCATGTATTTATTTTTCGCATTTATATCCCGCCCATCCTGTAAACGGGCTCAGGGCGGGTTACAACATTTTAATAAATACAATAAAATTTAAAACATATAAATTCAGTAGTCATGCTTGCCGTAGGGAGAATTCGGCCCACTGATGTAACTGAGTATGGCCGGTTATCAGTAGGTGGGAGATCACAACCTGGGGGGGGGCATATGTGGACGCCCGCTGCCTCAAAGGCCTGGCGGAACAGCTCCGTCTTGCAGGCCCTGTGGAATTGCATAAGATCCCGCAGGGCTCTGATCTCAATAGGGAGCATGTTCCACCAGCTGGGGGCCAGAGCAGTAAAAGGGTAGGTGGACATCTTTTGGGCCAGGGATCACCAGGAGATGTTGACTCGCAGAGCGTAACGCTCTCCAAGGCATATATGGGAAGAGGCGGTCCCTTAGGTATGTTGGTCCCAGGCCGTGTCAGGCTTTGAAGGTAATTACCAACACCTTAAAGTGAATCCGGTACTCAACCGGCAACCAATGCAGCTGACAGAGCACATGCGAAACATGGGCCCGACATCAGCAGGCGCACCGCCACATTTTGTACCAGCTGTAATTTCCGGATCCGCTTCAAGGGTAAGCTTGAAGTCAATGAGTTTAGAGAGGTGTAACTCTGTTTAGGATTGGGTTGTCAGGGCCCTTGCTCCATCACAAAGATCAAGAA